CACAAATAAACCACCAGCAAATAAGCCAAATCCCTTCTGATCCTACTTCCCTCATCCTAACAGTTTTATAATCAAGAACAGAAGAAATAAACATGATACATCAGAAATCTCTGTCCCTTAAGCCTTTCCAAGACGTTAACTTGTTATTAAAACCTTAAAAATTTACAAAAGTGAAAATCTATTATCCCAATACTAGAAATAAAATGCAAATGTCCAGGTGAAGCTGCATACTGATTGTAACATCATCGAGAAAGTACAACAAAAACAAGAAGTGTAAATGACAGGCATCAGAGCCTTTTTTGCTTTAATGGGGTGGGGGTGGGGGGGTTTGAATAGGAAAAGGACTCTTGATGGCTTAAAAAAGGGCAAAGAAAGGCTAAGAAAGATATAAAAGGGGAGGCCAATAATGCCAAATACAAATTCTGAAGGCTTCTCACTCTGCTTAGGATTTGTCTGAATCATCTCAGGTTGCCCTGCATTCACAGCTTAGCAAGAATACCTAGCGAGAGGTCATAGTAGTGATTCACTTCATTTATGCATATCTGTATCTCAACATCTAACTTTGTTATAAACATGCTTTCTTCCCAAAGGATTCTTACCCAAAATTATCCTATTCTCTAGATCACACTTGTGATTTGGGGTTACTCTCACCTCTTTTTTGTTCAGGCCAGTTTGCAGCTTCATCTATCTTGCTGTTAAGGTTTCCTCACGTATTAATAACTCTCCAACAGATTAGCTCCCATTTTCACCAAAACTCCATTTCCAGTGTTTTGAGGGACTTATCTCACCCAGAGAGTACACAGCTATAATTCAATTACAACCACTGCCACTCTTGGCCAACAACAGTTTTACACATTTTCAAACAATGGTTACTTTCCCTAGCTATAGTATTAAGTATATCTAATATAGAAAAAAAAAAAAAGTCAGTGCTTCTCAAATATCAGTTGTGAAAAATCACTTAATAATTTCCTAAATATCACAGCTGTATACTTAAATAAAGTAAAAGTGAGTCACTAGGAAAATGAGCACAGTTGGATGTTGCAGTATTATCAAATTATAGAAGTTTCTAAAACTGTACTTTGTTTTTTAACTTAACTCCCTATAGGCAGGTCACAAACAATTTTAGGACCAGCACTGGTCCCTGGACATGAGCAGTAGTCCCTAATGCACGTATTCTCATTATACAACTCTTCAGGAAGTTTTTCACACATCTAGCAACAAGAAAGCAGCCCAAATAGCTATGAACCTGTTTAATATTTGTTTTTCACATCCCACATTTTACTCCCACCAGTCCCTATAAATCTAAGGCCCTCAGTCATAGTCTCTTAGCTCATCTATGATAGAAATTAAAAGTTTGAGCAGCCCTGGTGGCTCAGCGGTTTAGCGCCGCCTGCAGCCAAGGGTGTGATCCTGGAGACCTGGATGGAGTCCCGAGTCCCACGTCGGGCTCCCTGCATGAAGCTTGCTTCTCCCTCTGCCTGTGTCTCTGCCTCTCTCTCTCTCCTCTCTGTGCATTCTCATGAATAAATAAATAAAATCTTAAAAAAAAAAAAGTTTGAAGATCCTATTTGTAATCAAGCAATATCTTCTGATTGAGTCTTTGCTTCTACATATTCCTCAACTTCAAAAAACCCAACTCAAAATATCTTTTCACCATAAACGCTTCTGCATCTAGAGAATTCTCTGCTACTTAGCAATCACCAGATGTTTAAATTAGCACTAATTAATATAAGTAGATTCATGTATTGCCTCTTCCACTAGATTTGAGAAAAGCAGCAAAAACATCAATCCATTCTTGTTAAATTTTCCACATAACACACAGTAAGTCTAAACAGTTGACTGACCTGATCCCAATAATTCACATAACCCTCAAGCAAAATGCAGCATACCTGGCCCAAGGATTGGCCCACTGAGATTTCCAGAAAATAATCTAGCTATGAAATAGTAGTAGGTATGGCCTAACTATCTGTTCTCTAGTATCATTATGAAATAAAATGTCTCTGAATAATCATGATAGCCTGCCTAGATCAACCTAGAATTATATTTACATAAATTTTAGTTACTTCCACTAAAATTGCATCATTAAACAGACATTAAGAATTACTACAAAAAGAAAGAAAGAAAGAAAGAAAGAAAGAAAGAAAGAAAGAAAGAAAGAAAGAAAGAAAGAAAGAAAGAAAGAAATTACTACAACAGGGCAGCCTGGGTGGCTCAGCGGTTTAGTGTCGCATTCAGCCCAGGGCCTGATCCTGGAGACCCAGGATTGAGTCCCACGTCAGACTCCCTGCATGGAGCCTGCTTCTCCCTCTGCCTGTGTCTCTCCCTCTCTGTCTCTCTCTGTCTCTCATAAATAAATAAAAAGAAATTACTACAACAAAGGAAAGTCTACATATGCCTTCAATTCACAACATGCAGCATGTAATACTCTTATGCTAAGAGTTTTTCTAATACAAAGAAATTTTAAACCTCAATTCAACCATTAACAATGCAACCTGTACCAACATAGATTCCCAACTATACAGTCTGCTGCTAGGAAAAAAAAAAATCTCTTATGTCTCTTCAAAAGTGGCAAGAAAATATGGTCCTTCTAAGCTCCAGCTGCTTAAAGCCTGGTGGTGTCCAAATCCCATGAACAAATAAAACACCTTCGGGAACCCTGCTGTTTGGCTGGCTGGCCACCCAGCCTCACCAGGCCCTCCGGCACCCTGGCACACAGGGTCCTGGGTGCTCAGCCCATACCTTCGTTCATTGAAGGGAAGGTGAGACCCTAAGCACGTTCCTTCCCGCCCAGAAAAGCTTCTTGATGCCCCTGCTGAAGAACATGTGTTAGTTCAGTTATAGTTCATTACTGTCCAGCTGCTGAAATGCCCAAGCCCCGGCTCCCCCAGGAGACCGGGAGTGAGCACATGCATCTCAACAGGTCTCAACCGCCTTATTTTGCTGGTTACTGAATTTGAGAAAATCTTTTTTGCCCTGTTGTTCATCCATTTGTAGAAATTTTCAGATCTCTATTAGCTACTTACTGGAGACCTGAAGATATTTTCCCTTATAAGATGGACTTTCTCAAAATCCGAGGACTGCTCGCTTGGTATATTTTAAATGTTTATGTTTAATTTTTAAATTTTATTTAAGAGGATTAAAGCCCTACTATGTTTAAAAAAAAAAAGTTCACTATGTGAACTCTGAATTTCTAAGTAAAGACTAAACATGTAGATACTTTCAGTTTAGAGACACTGAGTTTTAAAGATGAAAGACACCACAGCAATCATCCAGGCCACATATAGCACTTCATGGATATAAAGATTACACCCCAGGAAGATGGCCCAAAGTCACAAAACTAGAGATCCAGGACCTCAAAAATTGCAAGAGAGTGCTCATTTTACTTTATTAATTTGCTTCCATTCCAAATACTGAGGTCACATTGGTAGTGCATTTCCTTTAATACTTTCCTTTACTAAAATGAATTTTAAAAGAATGGGCACTATATCCTCCTTTTTCCAATCTCCAGAAGTTTTTACTCTTTACTCAGAAACAAATGACAGGAGCTCTAACTCATATACTTCAACTTTACAGTATAGTCCATTAAACCCTCATATTAGGAACACTTTTAAGTGTTTATGTGCCATCCTAGCTTTACTTTCTACTCATACATCAGAAATGTGACTTATCACAATTAATTGATTATTAAAAATGAGAAAAAGCGATTAAGGGGACCCCTAAGACTACTTAAGGGCTTTGATTTTTCCTTACAGTAAATAGCTCCAGATAATTTTATTTCTATCTTGTATCTGCTTTTCAGCATTTCATAGTTTCCTTCCATATTAACAGAAGTGACCAGTTGTCACTTCTCACTATTGCCAATGAGTCAGCCTCTATCCAATTCTATTCCACTTCCACTATATGGATTCAGAAACTACATAATCTAATTTATGAGAATAGCATGTAAAGCAAGAGTAAATGTGTTCCTGATGACAGCCCAAAAAGTCTATAAAATCAAGCCTACACATTTTAGTTTATCATTAAAAGCATTTTGTAGTTACCTCCTTGATCTTATCTGTTTCAAAATGTAGATAACAGTAGGTACATATGGTATTGATGTCATTTATACCTGACATAATTCTTGAGAATATCTAGTCTTCTTGAATTTCATTTTATACTACCCTCTGATCAGATACTTCCTAAGTGCATCTTAAACTTCTATCAGTTTCCTAAAATTAATATTCTTTATATGGGGAGGGGTCTTTTATCCATTAGTTAGGAAACTGAATTAGTTATAACACTGTAGAAATTTCCACCAAAATTTAACCTCCTGAACATCTTTAGCTGCTACTGATCCTAATCAAAAATACCACTTTCTCTAGATTATTATTACTATTAACATAATGATACTTGTTAAGACTCAAAGGCATCAAACTACTACATAATTTTATTTCTCCTTGTCATAGAACTAGTCCCTATAAAATACTTCAAAATCTATGTAAGGCCTATCAACCTCTATTTCAAATAAAATTAAATGAAATTTCTAACATAAAGAGATTTTAAACTGTTTTTAAACAGGTGAACCAATTCTGAAAAGTTGAAGATTTTTAAGGTTGCCTTGTAATTAGCATTCATATTAGGGGAGAAATCTTTGAAATTTAGACAAAGCAGTCAAAAAATAAAGTTAAACACGATCAGTATGCCTATAAAGGGTCACATTATCAGGAACTACAACATTAAATTAGATGTTTTCTTAAAAACAGAATACATTAAGATAAAGAAAATGAGCAAAAATAAGAAAGATTTCATCCCTTCACATAAAAAAATCTCTATTTCATGTACAAAGACAAATAAAATTCTACATATATGAAATATACAAGGAAAAAGGCAAACAAAAGAAAAACATCATAATCCATAAAAAGACCCCCCAACTTAAGAGAACATTGACCATTATATAGATGATGACCCCAGTATCACCTTTATATTCCATTTAGTCTCATGTAAGTTTCAACTTCACCTACCTTTCTTCTCTGAGAGATGTTGAGGGCACCAAAATCATTAAACAAGGATGAAGCAGGTGAAGTTAGAGGATCTGGAAGGTAAGTTACATAAGTTTCCACACAGACAACTCAAGTAACCCACAAATGTAATAAATATTTAATTTGACAATGCTTATGACAGTAACAAAAATCATATACCACAGTAATAGATTCAATGCTTAAATTCAATGCTTAAATTAAAAAACATATAGTGGATGTTCAAATATTTTCTAAGTGAATGAAACACAAATTGGAGAATATGTCTCTCAGCCAGTATTCACTACACATCTAATCAGAAGCTATATGGATCAGGATGCATCTGTTTGCTTAGAACCAAAAGAACAATCAAACAAATAAAGAAAAGATGACTCTTTATCATGTTATTAAGAATGTGTTTATGAAGAAAGTAAGTCTACTATAGTAAATGTTTGTATGTTTGAGACCAAATCATGAGAAAAATTATAAGGGGTGGTGAGGTGGGAGGGACAGTAAACCATACTTTGAGTGACTAGACTTGGATTTTAACACTTAGGCAAGGCCTTAAAACCATCTACTCCAGAGAAGAATTTTTTTAAAGTTTTTCACCAGTATTTTATATTCTAACTACAAATAGAGGTAAATTTAAGTTTTTAAAGATGGAAATACTACATGTTTCAAAACACAAACATAAAATTCAAAGACTTTATGGTTTCAAAGTTCTGTTACTCTGTGACCAGAAATTACAAATAAAAGTGTATCTCTAAATTGTTTTTCACTTAATACATCAGAAGAGTTTTTGAAAAGGTATGCATAATATACATGGAAATACTTTATTTTCAATTCTGAGTTCCAGTTAATCTTATGTCTCTCATTAAATTATCTACAAATGCTAAAAACCATAGTAAATGTTCTCATTTAAAGGAACCTTAAATCTCTTCATAATGCAGTATAGATTGCTACTTAATTTCTCCAGCTTCACCTGCCTGAATTTTCATAGTCTGGTCCTTCATTAGAATTAACAACAATTTAACAATGCTAAGAAAAAGCAGCTAATAAATTAACAAGATGTAAGATATTTTTATGTAATTTATACATTCAAGGCACTTATAAAAATAGGTAATATTCATCCTTTATTCTACTTTTGATAGCATTTAAAAGACAACATATAAACTATGGGAATGCTAAAAATATTATTATGCTACAAGTCAGTTTCTAATAATTTTATTCAACGTTAAAATGTTCTTTCTACAGCAAAAAAAAGTTGACACATCCAAATAGTGATAGAAATTTGATACACACCCATAAAATGTCCATCTCAGAAAATAATCAACATGCAAATTCCTATTCTCCCCATTAATAATTGATAACATCTTACTGATGCAGAGTATTAACACTCAATTGTTACATATTTTTAAGAAACCATTTTTGAACATTTTTTTTAACATTTGTTTTTAAATAGGATACAAAAGACACTTGGAAATTTCCTATCAAAAGCCATAAAAATGACCATAATCTTTGAAATAGTAACTCCATGTCTAAGAATGTTTCCAAAAGCATATGTCTTGAATATGAATACAGATTCATACACACAGTCCAATATTAGAGTATAATACTTTAAAAAATAGTTTAAAAAAAGCTTAGTAAATTATGAAAATAATAGAATTCAATTTATAATGATCAAGACAAGAAATACTCATGTATAATTTAAAAGTATACCTAATGCAACCTTAAGTATTATATCATGTGTATATTTAGGTAAGTATTATTACATTCTCAGACATAAACATTTTGTGGAGTTATACGGAATCCAAATAATAGTTACTTGAGTGTGAAAATAATAGATCATTCTTATTCTCTTCCCTATACCTGTTTAAAATTTTCAAGACTTCTAAAATGAACATATGGTTTTTAGGGTCAGAAATATAAAACAGAAAAAGAGACCAAGTCTTACCATGGCCTGCATATGGCTTGGCACTGTCATTTAGAAGGCTTGGGGAACTGCTACTATTAGTCATTCTCTGAAAAACAAAATAGATACACATAGTATCACTGAGAAATACAGAATTCAGAATATTCAACAAATTCAGACTGATTTTTCTGCTCTCACCCAGTTCTCACATGACTGACACTCTAATCCTCCTATAAATGTTGCCACATGGATTACAACAATTCATGTAAAAATTTCCAAATACTCTAACATATTAAATAAAAATTTTACTCACTAGCTAGATATTTAAAACCAAAGTTGCACACCTAATTTGAATTTACACTTCCATAACTTATTATGATCGGGCAACAAACATGACTATTAAGTCTCTTTGTCTAAAAAATATAAAATTCCAGTATCCATCTGAGAAGATGTGAAGTGATAATGTATAAAGTCAATAAATGCTTTCTAACATCCTCTCCCAAACCATATTACCATTCATACACCTTACAGATTCTATAGGAATCAGGCTATTCTCTGTTTTCTAAACATGTTCCATGTTTTTATGTACTCCATTGCCTCTAGTCTCTCCATCCTGAAAGGCCTTCACTCCATACCCATAAAACACAGAAAACATAGATGAAATAGTCTCTCCATCTATCCTCTACATACTCCACTGTCATCCCACCCCATTCCCCCCTGAAAGCTCACCCTGAATCCAACCCTATCCCATCTAACTTCATCACCTCCTAAACCTTACCTCCTAACTCAACAAATTTATGAATAAATGAAGACTCTAGACATCCCCCACCACACTGGAATAAACTTCACTGTTTAGTGCCATATTCATACTAAAGATACCTGCATCAAGGGATACTTTGTTTCCACTGGGCTTCCAAATCCATTGACTCCAATAAAGCTGGTGCTGAAATAGGAATCTGTGAGACTGGTATCAGTTAAAGCACCTCCATCTATTCCAGGAACTGAAATATAAGGAAGATTCAAGTATTTTAACCATTTAAAAGCACAAAATATTGATGCAGTTTCTATGTCTCTAAATAAATTTTAAAGTCTCAAATCTCTGTCACATTTATTTTTATTTATCTGTTCATAACAAAAGGCAGGACCAAATAAAATTGGCTCAGCTCTAAAAATTTGTTCAACAATGCTCAAATTGACTGATTTCTTTCCCAGAGATACAGTAATTTATTTTATATTAGTTATGTAAGCACCACCAAGCATAACATGAAGGAACAAACCACACTTGCATTTCATTTTCCCATCGTTTTCTTTCTTTAATTTATAAGAAGACAGTAGAATATAACACACTAAAAAAAAAAAAAAGAATAAAACACACTGCCATTTCTCCTGTGAATCTTCATGAGAAACAGATGTAAATTTCTCAGGACTGTTTCTCCTAACACATCTTATGAAACAGACCAGCAGTCTCATATATTAACTCTTAATTCAGTAAGAACAATTCTGCAGATGTAGCAATGGGACAGAGTTCAAGAATATAGACAAGCTGTTGATTTTAGGACAGATGAATACAGAATGACTGTAACTAGTAGGACAAGCCATGATCTATCAACAAAGTAATGGACAATATGTTGTAGACGCTACCTCCCAGTAACTACTTGGAATACTGCTATCTTCCAAGCTGCCAGTTAAATATAGTCATATGCTTTACAAATCAGCTGAGCTTCAAGTAGATTGTCCTCTTCTAGGAACAACCTCTAAGAATCACTGAAACCACTCCAACCCACCCCCACCCCCACTAAGTAGAAAACTAAACTAAATGCTAATGGTTGAATGTAGGCTGCTAAGATCTGAATGTCTGTATACCCACAAAATTCCTATGTTGAAATCCTAACCCCCAAAGACAGGAGGTGCTTAGGTCATGGGAGTGAAGCCCTCAGGAATAAAATTAATGTTCTTATAAAAGAGACCTACAGAGATCCTAGCCCCTTCAACCAAGTGAGAAGCAACAAGAAAGTACCTATTTATGAACCAGGAAGTAGATTCTTGCCAACCCCCTCATGAAATCTACCAGTGCTATGATCATGGACTTTCTAGCCTCCAGAACAGTGAGAACAGTGAGAAATACATTTCTGTTGTCTACCCAGTGGTATTTTATTACAGTGGCCCAAACTGACTAACACATAGGGATTCTTAGAAAGAAGCCTGAGGTAACTTTTAGTCTCTATTTTTAAGATTTCTCAAAATGTCCACAATTAAAATGTATTCCTTTTACAAGTACAAAAAGCTTAGTTTTAATGGTTCATATCTTTTAAATTAGTGTTTACAATTTCAGATATGGCTGAAGAATATAATCAGAAACACCTAAAGATTTTTTAAATTTTTTTATTTTATTTTTTTTCACCTAAAGATTTATATGTGAAGTTGTTCATCAATATGTCCATTTACACACAAGTATTAAAGTATTATTTTAATAACGAATTAGACATAATGTAAAATGCCCAACAATACAAAAAAGTAAATTCTAACATATCCTTTGAAAGAATACTATGAAATTATTTAAAAATCATAAAATTAATGTCTGCGATTTATTTAATACTCCAGCAAATCAAAAACTGGGAGGGGAGACAAAATAAAAACTAGCAAAATGCTGGTCCGTGTTGAAGCTGACAGGGGATTATTATATTCTTGTCTTTACTTTTATCAAAGTTTAAATTTTTCTATAATAAAAGGTTGTAGAAAATGAGAATAAATAATGGTATATAACATAACTGTTTATAATGTAAAGTGAAAAGGGAATGCATTTTTGTTTATAGTATGAAAATTAGTATGCTTACATATATACACAGATTAAAATTTTAGTATATATTCTTATAATCTTGTGTCATTTGGTTGATTGGGAAAAGTTAGTCTTATCTCGTATTACTTTTCTATAATGTAATTATTTTCATAATGATGATGATGACAATGACAGAAATCCATAAAGGGAGAAGAAGCTCCTATATTCTATCAAAACCCTTACAGCATCTATTATTTACCTTTTCCAATTAAAATAAAATGGTTTTCAAAAATAGAATATAATTTCAGTGTCAAATTATTTTTAATATAGCATTTTTATTTCAATGTTTTCAAATTTCAAATCTAATTTTCTCTTTTCTTCCTATGTTATATAGAAGCTAATGCAGTAAAACTATATTAAACACACCAGAATTTAAGTATCTATGGTCAATGTCTTACCTTAGATTTCTTTTTTTTTTTTTTTACCTTAGTAGATTTCAAGCAAGATTCACTGGACTAAAAATAAGCACCTAAGCATAACAAGATATTTGCAAAACAAATGAATATATTTTCAAAGAAAACATATGCATGACCAACAGGCACATGAAAAGATGCCTGGTATCACAAATCATCAAGAAAGTACAAATTAAAACCATAATGAAATAATCCCTCACACCTGTTGGAAGAGCTATTATCAAAAGATAGAGATAACAAGTTTTGTAGAGGCCATGGAGAAAAGAGAATCCTGACCACTGTCAGTGGGAATGTAAATTGGTGCAGCCACTATGGAAAATAGAATGGAGGTCCCTTAAAATTTTAAAACAGAACATATGCTTCAGCAATCTTACTTCTGGGTAAAGTAGCCTCCCCTCCTCACTACCCAACCCCTCTGAGGTTTTGCTTTCCATAATTACCCACAGTAAACCTCAGTCAACTACAGGAAAGTATATACATACATATACACACACGTACACAATATTTCTCAGTCATAAAAAAGAAGGAAATCCTGACATTTATGACATCATGGATAGACCTTGAGGGCATTATGCTAAGTGAAATAAGTCAGAGAAAGACAAACACTGATGTCCTCACTTACATGTAAATATAAAAGGTCAAACTCAAAGAAATAGAACAGTGGTTGCCAGGGACTGAGATGTGGGAGAAATGGGGAGATGAGAAAGTTCTGGGAATCTAATAATGTACACTGTAATTAACAAAACTGTATTATATACTTGAAAGTTGTTAGAAGAGTGGAGTTTAAAAGTTATCACAACACAAAAAAAGTAATTATGTGATAGGATAGAGGTGTTAACCAACCTTATGTGGTAATCATTTTGTAATATATATTTGTATCACATCGTCACTGTACACCTTAAACTTACAGAAGTTATATGTCAGTATCTCAATAAAGCTGAGAGGGAAAAAATTCCACACATATATTTATATTTAAATTTTCCTGTTTTAGAAAGAAGAGAATGGGATTTGATACTTCCAAGGGAGGTCAGGAAAATCATGAACCTATGATACATTATTCTATTCTACATAGATCATGAAGATATTAATCTTTTTTTAAAATTACTAAGGACAGACAAATATCCTACTTTATAAGATGCACAAAGAGAAAAGGCATATAGAACACATTTAAAGTTTTAGGGCATGTTAATAGACTTTAATTACCAAAATTAGATAATTAAGAACTTTTCACTCCTTCAACCCCTTATTTTTTCAATCAACTTTTAAGTAAACTTTATACCATCTCTATGGAATAATAATTTGCAATGCACTATAAGTAAGGCTTACTATTTCTATGAAAGTTCTATTATCAGGACACCTGGGTGGCTCAGGAGTTGAGCGCCTGCCTTCGGCCTGGGTGTGATCCTGGAGTCCCAGGATCAAGTCCCACATGGGGCTCCCTGCATGGAGCCTGCTTCTCTCTTTGCTTATGTCTCCGCCCCTCTGTCTGTGTGTCTCTCATGAATAAATAAATAAAATCTTTAAAAAAAAAAAGTTCTATTATCATCTCTATTATTATAATAATAGAATACAGAATAATAAATAATCAATTCAACAATCACTGTGTAGATATGAACCTCACTCTGAATGACAACTGTGGCAAGGTTGGTATTATTTTATTTTGCAGTTAAGCAAACTAACTGATTTAGGGAGATGAGAAAAGCTAGTAAGTGACAGAACTGGGATCATGGCAATTAAGAGAGGGAATTAGAAATCAAAAGATGAAATTTCAAGCCTGCAGTTTTAGAATACTGAGACATTCAAACTTTGAACCAAAGGATCTTTACCTAAAGAATCAGAACTTCTACATCTGTCAGCAGTTACCTCGCTGTTGTTAACATATAAATATGCATGATGATAACTCACTAAAAAAAAAAAAATCCTCACAGCTTAACTAAATAAATGCTCTCCTTCATCTTCAGGCTTGTTGCCTCTTGATGAAATGGGTTTAATGTTCCAAAAACATCACAATAAATCAATGTTACCCAAAGGGAATTCTAAAGTCAAATAAATTTGGAAAAGACTGGAAACAGTAAAAGTAAACCCATTTCTTCACTACATAATTTCTCAGAGCCTATGTCTACATATAATGTCAACTGTGACAATTTCAAAAGGAGAGTACTTCCCAAATGTGTGTAAGGAATCCTTTCTACATGAGCTGCTTGAGGGGTCGTGAGTCCCATAGAACACACTCTACAAAAAGTGACCCCTGAAAATACTGTATAGTTTTCCTCTGCCAAAAAGGACATCAAAGAGAAAATACTGCCAAAGGTTACCCAATGTGATGAAATCCAAACTTCTTAGTCGGATATTAAAAAGCCCTCAACAATCTGTTCTCAATCCATCATTTCCCAAAGGTACTAGGTTTGAGTCTCAGTTCTACCACTCACTAGCCACAAAGTCTTAGGCAAAATGCTTATAAAATGTAGATTATACCATTACTTGTAAAATGAAATTCATTACATCTACTCTGCATACTTCAATGAAAAATTATGAAAAACAATGAAACAGTATCTGGTAAGAATCCTGATGGTTGCACAACTCTACAGTGTAATCTACCAAAAACTGAACTGTACACTTACAAAGCATGAATATAGCATGTAAACTGTATTTCAATAAAGCTATTTTATAAAATCAGTGGAGAATAAAAGGAACTATTCAACAAATAGACTTAAAACAACTGGGTATCCATCAGGAGAAAAAAATGAATACA